TATCTATCTATCTATCTATCTATCTATCTATCTATCTATCTATCTATTTATTGGTTTTTTGACACAGGGTTTCTCTGTGTCCTGGAACTCACTCTATAGACCAGGCTGGCTTCCTAGAGATCTGTCTCTCTCTGCCTCCCGAGTGCTGGGATTAAACACTTGCACCACTACTGCCCAACTAAAAAACACTGCTTTTTATATTGTATCAACACTTTAATGGTTTCGGCCGTTATGGATTATGATGTGAAATGGCCTCACAATAAGGTCCCATTTGAATTCTTTGCTTTCCCCAACATCTAGCTGAGACATGTCGAGATAAAAAATGCGTGTGCTTTTACTAATTTCTCATTTGCAGCCAGTGCCAGGCTGCATGCAGATGGGATGGCAGTCGTGACTGGCAGGCCCTGTAAGTGAAGCTGAACTCACACACTGTTTTATTCGTTGTGAACATTTCGCAGGAGAAGAAGGGAAGAACTGTTTCCTTGCTTAAATGAAAGCCCGGCACAGTCAGTGCAGTTTATAAATACTATTTAAATCGATGGGACCAATTCCTAGGCATCCCCAGCTGTGTGATGGCTCAGGTTTGGGCATGGACATTGAAGGTGTGTTGTATATACTTGATTGTATTGATCAGTGTTTTTAAAAGTGTGTCTTCCAGGAATGGAGACTGCAGGGCCTTGCAGGGCTTTGCAGCCGGCTGTCTAGGAGTAGACCCTACAAGTGTTTCAGAGTAGCTTCCCAAGCCTGCAGTGTGAGCAGTTTCCCGACAGACACATCAGCAAAATAAATTCAGATTGAGTTGTTTTCTAGTTGGAAATGTTTCTTAAATCTAGAGAGTTCAAATTTATGCCTAAAAATTGAGAGCAAAGCTGACTGATTTTGAGCCCATAATTTTACTAATATATGAATGAGATTTGAAACTTCAAGGCATTATATGTATACTTTGTCCTCAATTTGAGCAATTAAGTTGATTTTTTAAAAGAATAAATTAAACATTTAATGGAAGGACACAATTAGAGTACTTCTAAAAATCACTGTGGTTTTTCTGAATTCTGTAATTTATCAAGTAGCAATTTAAAATACATTTTACTGTCTATAAGAAACCTTGTATTTGAGAAATCATTTACTATTAAGCTATCTGTGAATTTATAAAACAGGGGATTGCTGACTTTAGAGAGGAGAGATGAAGACCTGTGTTTTGGCAAGGCGCATTACCACTGCTGAACTCAGTGACAATGCAATTTAATTTATATGGGCATAAAGTTAAGCCGCTGCCATTTCTGGGGGAAGGGATGACTTTATGAGTGTCTTCCAACCCTATACTCAACATAAAGCATCCCTTTGGCATGACTTTTGTGCTGAATTCAAAACCAAAGAGGAAAGTTTGAGTCTGGTCATATTCTGTGTTAAGATATTACTGGGTTTTTTTTTTTTTTTTGCTACTTATTTGTTTTTTTTTTTTAAATTTTTTTTTATTGGTTTTCTTGAGAAAGGGTCTCTCTACAAAGCTCTGGTTGTCTTGGAATTCACTCTATATACCAGGCTGGCCTCAAACTCACAGAGCTCAGCCTACCTTTGCCTCCTGAGTGCTGGGATTAAAGGCCCGTGTCACTATGTCTGGCTAAGATATTATAGTTATAATTTATCTTTAAGAAACAAAAACATCAGGATGTATATATGAAAAAAAGTCACTCTGATTATCTTTGACTCAAAAAACCAAAAAAATAAAAAAGGATTTCACATGACATATCTGTGTGTGCATGAACTTCTCCATTAAAGTCAGGATCTCATTATGTAGCTCAGACTGGCTTGTCTTCCTGTCTCTTGCCCCAAATACTGAGATTATAAATGAGCCATCATGCCCAGCTTGAATGGGAGGTGTTTGTTGGTTTGTTTTGGGATGGAGCCAGGACCTTGTGCATGCTAGGCAAGCACTCTACTGTTAAACTCCACCCCCGGCCCTATAACTTGCTAGTGTCACTTGTGTAGATTTCACTAACAGAAAATAAATAAAATTAGGCGTAGGTGAAACTTAGAACATCAGTTCGTGAATAATTTGATACGTATTTAAATCTCTATAAGTATACCCAAAATATATGCTACAGTTGAGATAAATTATCTTTATATAACTCATCAGTGTGTAGACACATATCAGTAAAAAGCAGTAAATACATGTTAGTGATAATCTCCAACTTTAATAATTTAATAATTGGTCTTCACCACTACCCCCATAAGGATTATCTGAGCCAGAGTAAACATTGATCCGCTTCTTATTCGTTGTTTCATTTGTTTTTGCCCCTCTCCCACCGTCCTGGTTCTGTCTTCCTCTTTATCTATTTAATCCTCTCTAATGACAGTGGGGGGAGGGGAGCAGTAGGAACCCCCAGTACACCCCCTGTGTCTTGCCAGATGACATTTCTGCTTTTCCGCTCCTTAGATGGAAGGGCCACACTCAGGGATGACATCGTTATCTTTCGGACAGTTGCCTTCCAGCCCTGAGATCTGGGTTCCCATGATCCAGGCACTCTATTTATTTTCTTAGCTAGGAATTTCCAGAGCCCCAGCTGGGATGCCCTTTGCCTTCCCTAGCAGCTGGCTTCGATTTAATGAGCTTGCTGAGTTGAGTGGCCAAGGAAGGGTTTCCCTCGCTGGAAGGACTGACGGTTTTTCCTGTAAAGTAAGTAAATGCCTGTGTCTGGGTGGCTCCAGGAAAGGGCCTTCCCAGAGGCCTCCTTTGTGATCGGGCTCTAGGGCACAATCCTCAGCCTTCCTGTTCTCTTCTTCTTTAGTTTTGGGATAACCGGCAGTGAAGAAGGAATATATTTCAAATCACACACATGCACCTTTTCAGTCCCTGGAATTTTTTAGTTCCTTGTCCGCTGGGGACAGTTGAGCAAGCCTGTTGGTGAAGCTGCATTGTCCTTCTGAATTTCCAGTTACCCAGGACCCCGTTGTGTCTGATTCTCCACTTTTCAGTTTGCTAGTTGGACGGCAGAGCTGTGGTGTTAGCAGATAGGAGCTTCAAGGGCTACAGAACCACTTTGAGAGTTCAGATGGTTTTCATTTCTGCTTTTAGTGAGGGCTTCAGGCACGTTTTAGGTTTCCCCCAAATATTTATATTTATTACATATTTGTAGAATTTATATAAATGTTTATTACATATTTATAGAAGAACTCGGTTGTGCACTGTTTTGATTCAACGGAAGAAGGCCTCCAATTGCAGGCTTCTGGAACTGGGTTTCCTTAAGCAATGTCATATAGTCACCAAAGCCTATACACCCCACGGCTCCCTGTGAGCAGAAGAGAACCAGCACCAGAGATCTAAGGTTACATTCTTCTGAAGGAATTTCACTGCACGCTTCCAGAGGGAATGAGGGCTCTCATATAGGCCCTTTACCCTTTCTCACATTGCTAAGAGTTTACAAAAACACTGTTAAAATTTTTCTATGGTTTGTGCCAGATAAACAAGACGTACTATAAATTCTTTAAATTTAACATTGACATATAGTGGGATTTTTATTTTGATTTATTTTTATCCAGGATTTCATATAGCCCAAGCTGGCTTCAGTGTAGCGGAAGAAGATGTTGACCCCCCCTCCCCCATCTTTCTGCCTCCAGCTCTGTAGAGCTGGGATTATAGGCAGCAAAGTGTGCTTTGAATGATTTGAAAATCAGAAGCACCAAAGGGCATTTGGTTGCGGATTCGCCTTAGTTAATGTTTACTTTTTTACAAACAGGAAAAGGTAATTTATTCCTTTAGTACTTATGTATAAGATTTTATGTTCAGATATATGTTGGTGGTTTTTATTTTATTTTATTTTATTTTATTTTGGGTTTAT